GGGAAAAGTGTGGAAGAAAACGCTGCACAATGAGAAGAGGTGACCGGACCCTGAGGAGGATTGTGGAGAAGGGCCAATTCCAGACCTTGGGGGACCTGCGGAAGCAGTGGACTGAGTCTGGAGTAGAAACATCCAGAGCCACCGTGCACAGGCGTGTGCAGGAAATGGGATACAGGTGCCGCATTCCCCAGGTCAAGCCACTCTTGAACAAGAGACTGCGTCAGAAGCATCTCGCCTGGGACTGCTGCTGAGTGGTCCAAAGTTATGTTCTCTGATTACAGTAAATTTTGCATTTCCTTTGGAAATCATGGTCCCAGAGTCTGGAGGAAGAGAGGAGACACAGAAATCACATTGCTTGAGGTCCAGTGTCAAGTTTCCACAGTCACTGGGGTGTCATGTCAGCTGCTGGTGTTGGTCCACTGTGTTTTATCAAGGGCAGGGTCAATGCAGCTAGCTATCAGGAGATTTTGGAGCACTTCATGCTTCCATCTGCTGAAAAGCTTTATGGAGATGAAGATTTCATTTGTCAGCACGACCTGGCACCTGCTCACAGTGCCAAAACCACTGGTAAATGGTTTACTGACCATGGTATTACTGTGTTCAATTGGCCTGCCAACTCTCCTGACCTGAACCCCATAGAGAACCTGTGGGATATTGTGAAGAGAAAGTTGAGAGACGCAAGACCCAACACTCTGGATGAGCTTAAGGCCGCTATCAAAGCATCCTGGGCCTCCATAACACCTCAGCAGTGCCACAGGCTGATGGCCTCCATGCCACGCAGCATTGAAGCAGTCATTCATGCAAAAGGATTCCCGACCAAGTATTGAGTGCATAACTGAACAAGATTATTTGAAGGTTGGCGTTTTTTGTATTAAAAACACTTGTCTTTCATTGGTGGGATGAAATATGCTAGTTATTTGGGACAGGCATTTTGGGTTTTCATGAGCTGTATGCCATAATCATCAGTATTAAAACAATTAAAGACCTGAAATATTTCAGTTGGTGTGCAATGAATCTGAAATATATGAAAATTTCATTTTTATCATTACATTATGGAAAATAATGACCTTTATCACAATATGCTAATTTTTTGATAAGGACCTGTATATAAAAGGTATTCAAAGTCATCCCCTGCTGGGGATGCAATAAGTCTGGTCTCGATGGATGACCTGTTCCATTGCTTCTCTCATCCTTGTTGCCAGGACCTTGGAGAGGATTTTGTAGTCAGTGCAGAGAAGGGACACCAGAAGCCAATTCTTCATCTCCTGCAGGTTCCCGTTTTTGGGCAGGAGCGTGATGACCACTCTGCGGCACGACAGCGGGAGCAAACCAGTGGTCAGGCTTTCACTTAAGACATGGAGCAGATCCTCTTCCAGGATGTCCCACTAGGCCTTATAGAACTCCACAGTGAGTCCGTCGACACCGGGAGCCGGTTTGTTAAAACTAACCTTTTAGATTTGAGGGCTTCAATGTGCTCTTGATTTCCTGTGGTTTCACTGAGGTGCTCTAGTTCCACTACATCAGTCTCCAGATCTTTGATAGATCTTGTGATGTTGCGGTAACATTGAACATGTGCTGTTGACACAGCTGTTTTATTTGTACTTTCCCGTGGTCCCAGCACTGTTGCAGACAAGTAAAATCACCTTTCCTGTGTGTAAAAACCTTCATAAAATAACTCAGAATCTCCTTAAAACTACGGTCATAAGTTAAAATTGAGTTAAAATGCCAGTAGGCGCTCTTAGGTAAAATGTTTTTGATAAAAACCTAAAACCAGCAAATGATCCGTAAAAGCTACTGGTAAAATCTGACAGGCTTTAAACACGTTAAAATGATGTTTAAAACAATAAAACCGATCAAGGCGAGCCAAAGAAATGTGATTCTCTTTACAGTGGGACCATGTGCACTGTCTGGAGCCTGCGTGCATCCTCCTCCATACATCCACCAGGCCATGAGACGAGACCAGCTGCCACAGAGCGCGCTGGGCTGCTGGATGAGGCTCTGCATGATTGCGGTCTAAAAACTCGTTTTCAGTACAATTAAAATCCCCTCCTATAAAAACATAGTCCTCAGGCCCACAATCTCCCAACCTTTCCCCAATTTTTTCTAAAAAACGTTGTTTCTCTGCATTGGCAGTGGGAGCATAAATGTTAATAAAAGTTACATTAAAATGTTCAAACCCGGCTTTGACTAAAAGACACCTTCCCTGAACAATGTGTTGCACCTCCTCTATGTGGCTGGGAGTAAAAGCTTTAGAGAAGAGGAGTCCCACTCCTGCACTCTGGGAGGTGCCGTGGCTAAAAATGGCCTCCCCTTCCCACTCCCTGCCACGCTGTCTCATTGGATGGATCACTGTGTGTCTCTTGTAAAAATAAAATTTCTATTTTTTATATTTTATGGTTTGGTAAACCAGTTCACGTTTCACAGCCTCTCTGGTCCCATACAGGTTTAATGATGCTATTTTAAAAGCATCCATGGTGAGTGAGAGGTTAAGAAGCGTGTACAAAAAGAGTATAAAAAATGTTAAAATGCAGGTGTTCATAATTTGTTCAGAATTGTTTCCTGACTTTGCTCATTATATTCTTTAGTCTAAAAATTTCTTGATCTGTAAAACCTGACTCTTCTTTATGTCTGATGTGATGTCAGGCTGAGAAATAAGGTTGTTTTCACACCAGATAGTCCGGTAGACTCGGTTCGGGACCAATAATCATGACCTTTTGTTACATTTGAGCTGGTGCGTTTGCATTCACACTGCACTGTGCAGTCGAGTCAACCTGTTGAACCAACCTATTCCCCCACTCGCCTGTGGGGGCGCTGCACCAAGAACTACTGAAAGAAACAACACAAAAACCTCTGAAGACACGTCTTCTTCTTCTTCTGTAAATAAAAATAAAAATGAAGTGGCATCAAGTTTTCACAGTTTTAAGAGTTACATTTAGTCATTTTTCAAAAATGGACTTAGCATGAGCAGAAGATGAGACAGATGACCATGGAGAATGTTGTTTTTCCACACAAGGCAGCTGACGGCTCCATATAAAGTAAGTGAAATGCGTGTTTGTTTGTCCTGCGGAGCGGGGCTCGGTCTGTTTACATTCACACTGTACTCGAACCACGCTGGAGTTCTCTTCTACCGGACCGAGACCTAGGTTTTAGCCCGGGCCAGAGTTCGCCTTTTTGTTCCGTGACAGAGTTTGATGGCGCGTTCACATCTCCCCAAACGAACCGGACTTTCTAGGAAAACGAGCTAGAGTTCGATTAAAGCGGACTAAACAGGGCTAGTGTGAATACACCCTAAAACGTTCTCAGGTTAGAAAAATAACTTTCAACTTGAACTCCTCTCAGCATTTTGGTTTGCTTGAGGAAGGACAGGAAGGTTTCTACAGGGTTCACTGCTGTCAGCCAGTGAGACAAAGGCTTCACTAAAATAACAGCACCAGTCCTCACTGTCACTGCTCTCTGCTCCCTCCATCTCTGCACACATCTTGCAGGCTTGTGCAGCAGCTTCAACAGTTTTTCTTTTGCCTCGTTTCTTTAGCTGGTTGGAGCCCCCTGCTCCATCTCCTCTACGGCGCACCTGCTTCTCCCTCCACACCAGCTCCTGACCTCTCACTTTTCTTTCCTGCATCTTTTTTCTCTTCATCCACCTCCACCTCTCCTTTCCCTCCCTGGTCACCACACACTAACTCCTCATCATCCATCTCACCCTCCTGCGCATCTCGCTCTCCGTTTCTCTCCTCCACCTCAACCTGAGTCTCCACCTCACCATCCACAACACCACCATTCTCCCCACCATCACCACCACCATTCTCCCCATCACCACATAACTCCGTGCTGCCACCTTCTTCCACACAAATACTTTTTGTTGCTTCACTGTCCACAGCTGGCACGTCAACACTAACACGTTCCCCGTCAGCGGGGGTCGCGGACTCTCCCGCGGCAGCGGCGGGGGGGTCCATCATGTCAGCTGGCATCTCCTGCGCCCGGTCCTTGCCGGACTGGTCCCCCTCCTGCTCGGCAATAGCGGGCGGGGCCGGTCCGGCCCTGTTTGGGCACATTTTTATCACGTGCCCCTTCTAGCCACATCCAAAATATTTCATGTTGGAGGAAGTGGCGAATAAAAGGTATTTAAAGTCATCAAGTTTAACATGAAAGTGCACGTTAAACTCCACCCCCCGCTTGTTCAGAACCATGTACAGTGTTCTCCTATGGGAGACAACATGTTTTAGAAGTGGTGATTTACACCCAGTCAACACTTTTTTAATTGGTATACACCACCTTCCCATGTCTGGACAACTCCTTTATCAAAAACTCATCGCTGATAAATGGGGGGACGTTGGACAGAGTTATCTTAGTGGCTGGCAGCGCCAGTGGTGACACCTGTAAAAACCAGTCACCCACTGAGATGCCAGCCTCGACCAGCTGTTGCGCCTTCTCCACCTTATCAACAAAAATGACCACAGCCCCGTTCATGCGGGCTGCGGACCTGATGGACCCATGTCCAACCACCTCCCCCACCGCTAAACAAACTTCCTCCACGCTGCACGGAGAGCCAGCACTCACCTTGATGCCGTTATTCCGAGTCAGCGTGGAGAATCCTCCCAAGCCTCCTGCCACCATGGCGTCTAGACGCCGGCCAGCCAGGTGAACCTGACGGCCACACCCTCGTAAAACAAAACCTTTAAACTATTAAACTAACAAAACCCACAATTAAATAACTAACATAAACACAACACCCAGTGAAAGAAAGCAGAAAAAGGACAGAAAAATAGAATGAATCAACACTTTCACCCTTTACGCTCCTCTGCTCTTCCACTCACACTCCTCTCACATGAAGAAGAAGAAAAATGTCACGTTGAAAGAAGTTAACTCTAGTGGATTCATGGTGAGCTGTATAACAGGAAGTTTAACAGTATCACTGCCTTTAAAAATGTTTCAGAGAAACCTCCAGCCACCTACAGCTGATTCTGGTTCTAAAAAGACACCCAACCTGGCAGATGCTGTACCTTGAGATGCTTCAGTTGCTCCTTCTGCATATCAACACATTTTTCAAGTTCCTCCAGAAGTCTCCCAAGAATCAAGAGCTCTTGTCCCAGTTTTTTTATCTTCTGCTGAGGCAGTTCTAAATGTAGAAGAGAAAGAACACAGGCTTTTTACTTTAACACAACAGATATAAGGTGTAGTGAACTTGATAAAGAAACTGAAACTAAATCTGGGTTTCTTGCTTAACTCTGAATCCAAGAAAATGCCTTGTAGCTGCTACTTTCCTACTGACCACTGACTATGGTGACATGACATTATTTACATGAATGCTCCTGCAAGCTCCTTGCAGATGTTGGATGCTGTCTATCACGGCGCACTAAGATTCATAATTGGTTGTAACTACCGTACCCATCACTGCACTCTGTACTCATTGGTCAGTTGGTCATCGTTATCTACACCTAGGCTCTCACATTAGTTCAGTTTAATCTATAAATTACTCCTTGGTCTGCTATCTTTTTATATCTTCTCCCACTTGTCACATCGTCAGTGCATTTACAACATTCATTGAACCTTTATTTATACAGGTTAATCCCACTGAGCCTGGGGGACTCATTTACAAGAGAGACCTGATTCTAAAAAGGAGTGATGACAACAGTAGAGAACAAAGACAACAGTAGACAATCTTTAAAGGAAGCCTATCTAAAAAAATTAAGTCTGGTCCTCTGGACATTCAAAAAACAAACAAAACAAAACAAAAAAATTAGAAACGTTTCGTCTTTCATCCGAAAGACTTCTTCAGTCTGAGATGCTGCATTCAGCACATTCACATCACTCTTTACGTGCATTCCTGTTGATGAGGCAGTAGAGGTGGTCAGTTTAAGATTAAAATCAGACACCACTCTGAGCAGCAGGACCACGCTTTCCACAGAACAACTGTGTCAACTCTTGAAACTGTGCCTGTAGTCAACCTACTTCACATATGGGGAGCAATATTATAGGCAGAAACATTGATGTGCTATGGGGTCTCCAGTTTCTCCTATTGTTGCCAACCTGTACATGGAGGAGGTAGAAAAGACAGCCTTGACGTCCTTTTCAGGGACACCACCAAGTCATTGGTTCAGGTATGTTGACGACACCTGGGTTAAAATTAAATCTCAGGAAGTCCAACATTTTACTGACCACATCAACTCTGTGGATAAATACATCAAGTTCACACGAGAAGATGTAAAAAAATGACAGGCTGGCTTTCTTGGACTGAGGTCTCAGTTTCTGATGAACATTTGCAAATTGAGGTGTACCACAAACCCACCCACACAAACCAGTATTTGCAGTTTGACTCCCATCACCCTTTGGAGCTGTAAGGATGGCGTCCTCTGCTGGGCCTTTCTTGTCTGTTCTCCCTGTTTTCTCTGATTGTCTCCACCTTCGTGTCCTGCAAGGTGTGTGCGATTGTTTCTCAGTGTGTGCTTGTATACAAGTCTACGTCTTTGTATTTCTCATTGTCTGGGCATCGTCTGGTATCGTCCTGTGTTTCTGGTTTTCCTCGTGTCCCTGGTTTCCCTCGAGACATGTAAGTGTTTGCTGCCACGTCAGCTTATTATTTTGTATTGTTAAAGTGAATTAATTTCCTCCCTGGTCCTGAGTCCTGCCTGTGCTACTGGGTTCTGTGTCAAACACAAATCCTGACAGTATGCCCAGACCAAGAAAGGAACCCAGTGGGCAGTTGTCTCAGACAGCCCGGTGGGAGGAAGAATTAAAGCGTGCTGAGGAAGATGCACCCGTCATCCATTGGAGTGGTTTCCGGATCGAACCCATCTAGAGGTGGAGGCACTGCAGCCCAAAGATTGAGATCCTCCCGTCACCTCTTCTGCTGAAGGAGGAGGAGGAACATGACAAGTCTCAGCTATGGGGGAGCCGCATGGCTTATAAACCCAGCTCCTTCTCTTCTCCGACACCACACGAGTTCCTCGAATGGATGACCGAGGAGGAGGCTGAACCGGAAGAAAGGTTCTGGTTCAGGTCTGGTCCCAGCTCACGCCGCTGCCACCGGAGGAGCAGACGGCAAAGAAGGACCAGAACAGTTGATCATCAGCCCCTCCTTCCACCCGAATCTTCCCACTTGTGTTCAGAGGAGCTGGGGAGAAATTTAAAGGGGGGGGGGAGTGCCTGAGTCCCCGCTTGCCTGCAGGTCAAGCGGACTCTCTCTCTGCAGTCGAAACCTTCGCAGGGGGGTGGTACCTGAGCCCCTGCTTGCGCAGTTTCCACAAAGGGTTCTGGTTCGGCAGAGGGTTCCGTTTCCACGGAGGACTTCCCTGATGTTTCGCCTGATGACGTCATTGATGTTTCTAAACAGCTTCAGGGACTCTTCTACTCTGCCACCCTCAGTTCAGACTGTTGTTACAAACAAGCAGTCTACTCAAAAATGGAGGACCTGCTTGTGTCCAGACCCAGCCTGTTACAGACCCCGGTCTTCTCATAGATGCTTTCTTTGATAACGACTCTTAAGGTAGAGTACCAGACACTTTTAAACTCATTTTCTTGTGTTATTGTGAGATCATGTCCAGAACCTGCCGGGTCTCCAGCACCCGCAGGTTTTCCAGCACCTGCAGGGTCCTGTTCTGAGGAGGTCCTGGCAGACGTTCCTCACGTCTCCCGTTCTGAGGGGGTCCTGGCGGACGCCCCTCAAGTCTGCTGTTCTGAGGAGGTCCTGGCGGACGCTCCTCACGTTTCCTGTCTCCAGGGGGTCCTGGAGGACGCCCCTCAGGTTTCTGGTTCCGAGGGAGTCCTGGAGGATGCCCCTCACATTTCTTGTCTCGAGGGGGTCCTAGAGGATGCCCCTCAGGTTTCCTGTCTCGAGGGGGTCCTGGAGGATGCCCCTCAGGTTTCCTGTCTCGAGGGGGTCCTGGAGGACGCCCCTCAGGGTTCCTGTCTCGAGGAGGTCCTGGGGAACGCCCCTCAGGTTTCCAATTTCTGTCTCGCGGGGGTCCTGGAGGATGCCCCTCAGGTGTCCGGTTCTTGTTTCGAAGGGGTTCTGGAAGACGCCCCTCAGGTTTCCTGTCTCGAGGGGGTCCTGGAGGATGCCCCTCAGGTTTCCGGGAGGGTCCTGGAGGACATCTCCCATGTCTCATGTCTCGAGGGGGTTCTGGAGGACGCCCCTCACGGTTCTGGGAGGGTCCTGGAGGACTCCTCCCATGTCTCCTGTCTCAAGAGGGTCCCAGAGGACGCCCCTCACATCATCTGTTTTCCTGGGTTCTTCACACCTTCCGACGAAGACTCTGAACCTTCCGCAGAAGACTCTGCACCTTCCGCAGAAGACTCTGCACCTTCCGCAGAAGACTCGGCAACTTCCGCCGAAGACTCTGCGCCTCTCGCTGAAGACTCTGCACCTCTCACCCAGGACTCTACACCTCTCGCCCAAGACTTTGAACCTGCCGCCGAAGATCTTGAATCAGCAGAGGATCCTAGGAGGAGTTTGCTGAGGTCTACATGCAGACTACTGAGGCTCCCTTGCAAACCCCAGAGGCCTCAACACAGACATGTCCTCAATGCCCGCTGTAGCCCCTGTGTGCTCCTCGACGCCCGCTGCAGCCCCCGTGTGCTCCTCGACGCCCGCTTCAGCCCCCATGTGCTCCTCGCCACCTCCTGTATGTTTCTCGCCTTTCGTGGGACGTTCCATGCCAGCGGCAGCATCCTGGGTCAACTTGCCTGAGGAACCGATGATTCCCCCACTTGCCTTTCCCAGTGCTGGGCGGTCATGAACCCTCAGGATGCACCTTTCCATTGGCCGTCCACCCGAACTGTTGACCCATGCTGGACTGTCTCCTGGCCGTCCCCCTGAACTCGCTCCTCATGTAAGGCGGCCACCCGGCCGCCCCCCTGATCTTGCTCCTCGTGTTGGACAGCCTCCCGGCCGCCCCCCTGAACTGACTCCTGGTTCTTAATGTTCTCCCAGCCGTTCCACCTGATCGTTAGATGTTTTCTGGTGTTTAGTCTTTGGGTTTAGTTCCCAGGCCTCGTCCTGTCTGTTTTTGGTTTATTGTCCTTGTGTTTTCCTCGTGCCCTCCATCCTTGCAGTTCCTCCCTCTGCCCACCCTAGTTTTTGGGGGGGACGCCAGGGGGCGTCCTTGTGGGTAGGGTACTGTAAGGATGGCGACCTCTGCTGGGCCTTCCATGTCTGTTCTCCCCGTTTTCTCTGATTGTCTCCAACTTCGTGTCCTGCCAGGTGTGTGCGATTTTCTCAGTGTGTGCTTGTATATAAGACTGCGTCTTTGTATTTCTCATTGTCTGGGCATCGTCTGGTATCGTCCTGTGTTTCTGGTTTTTCTCATGTCCCTGGTTTCTCCCGAGACATGTAAGTGTTTGCTGCCACATCAGCTTATTATTTTGTATTATTAAAGTGCTTTTATTTCCTCCCTGGTTCTGAGTCCTGCCTGCGCTACTGGGTTCTGTGCCAAACACAAATCCTGACAGGAGCACAAGTTAGGAGTCATGAGGACCCTGTACCACAGAGCAGACAGCCTCCCCACTAACTCAGGAGCCAGGCAGAAGAAGAAATTCTACACAAGACAGGCTCTAGAGCGATATGGATATCCTAACTGGGCCATCCTGAAAGCAGAGAAGAAAGCCAAACAGGACTCCAGTCAGCCATCAGGTGAAAAGGAGGAACCCAGACCCAGACCAGTGGTCACTGCATATTTTGCGGGAGTATTAGAGAAACTGAGACGTTTATTTTCTAAACACAATGTCCCAGTGGCTTTTAAACCCTTAAATACATTATGGCAAAACCGGTTCATCCCAAAGATCCAGTCTCCTGGTACAAACAGAGTAATATTGTGTATGCTGTTCAGTGTCAGGAGGGTGATCAGTCTTACATAGGGGAAACTAAACAGCCACTGGCCAAAAGAATGGCCCAGCACAGAAGATCAACATCATTAGGTCAGGACTCTGCGGTCTACACTCATCTCCAGGCCAGCGGTCACTCTTTCAGGGATGAAGATGTTCACATCCTGGATAGAGAGGAACAATGGTTTGAGAGAGGAGTAAAGGAGGCCATCTTTGTGAAAAGAAACAGTCCATCATTAAACAGGAGCGGAGGCCTCCGGGTTCATCTGTCCACCTC